AGTAGTATTAATTAATATTGACAATATATCATGACTTGCAAAATGGATTACTATAAGGAAAATGTTTTTGAATATTATGGTCCAAGTTAATTAATTAAGAATATTTCTTTTATTGATTGACTGAAGCATACATTTAATCATTTTTCTTTGCATAACATTTTAGTTTTGTTCCTAAATTTTAGGAAGTATCTTTTTCGCTTTAACCCTTATTAGTTTTATCAATAAAAAATTTATACATTGAATTTTTTAATATTGATAAAAATATTTTTGAATGTTGACATATTTAATTTAATTTTTTTAATGTTGATATATTTGGTTTAATATTGACAAATCATAATTGGAGAAAAAAATAATAATTTAAAACTAATATTGTTAAGTTAAATGACTGAAAATATGTTTTATAAAATTAAGGGATCAAACTAAAACTTTATATAAAATTAGAAGATCAAAAATATACTTTAACTTTATTGATTTTATCTTATATTCAGATTTTTTTTGAGCTATTAATGAATTTCGCTCATGATTTCAATAATTAGATGAAATAGAGTTGTGTGAAAGCAGCATTGAATGGATTGAAGAGAAGGACGATTATCCTCTACTTTCTTCTTCTCCATTCATTTATTTTTGATTATCTTTTCAAATTCTATTTCAATTTTTTGTTGTTGAAGTCAATGAATGAAATTATAATTATTTTCCTTAGTTATTTTTCACATAACAGATAATTTCTTCAATATTGTGGGAAAATCATATCCATTCATCAAATATTTCTTCACCAACAACTATTGCATGAGCCACATGAAACAAGTCATTATCATTATGATAAGCCAAGCAACCAACGATGTTTTGTGAACCTATATGCAATGAATACTCATTCAAATTTATTGTTCTCATCAGCCAGCTATTTTTCTACAACGTCTTGGTCTATCTCCGTTACCAAGGCTTTAATTTACTTTTGGCCTTTAAAGCTTATGAACAAGGGGGAGTTAGAAAATTTTATTAGAGAGCCAAAATAATAAAACATATATGATAATTAAAAAAATAAAATCTATATATATAACTAATATAACATAAATATTTCAATCTATATATTTATATTTAATTATATATATAACAAAAATAAATATATACTTTATTTTTTAAGTTTTTTTCATTACTTTTTCATGATATAAGAACAATTAATTATTATGTCTATGATAAATTTTTTAGAAATTTCCTTCTCAATTTAAACTATTATTAAATTGGAAAAAATTTGATCTTCCCATAAAGCTTTGAATAATTTAAATGTATCTTTAGGATCTAAAGTTTTGTTTAATCTAAAAAAACTCTACTATTTGTTTACTAAATTTACTATTTAATTTTTTTAATTGATAATTATAGTAAAAAAAATATATCAACATGATAATGATACTTAATTGTTACAAATTCTTTATGCTAATGAGATTTAAGTATATCATAATAAAAACTATTCATATAATAAATTTCAATAGCTTGGTTGTTACAAAAAAAACATAATTTTTTTCTAGAAAAACATATATTAACCATAATTTCTTAATTTTTGAATAAGTGATTTTATGATAGAAATCATGCATATAGAATTTATTATATTTTGGGATTTGTTTTGTTAGTAATAATTATCATAATTTCTTTCGTCAAATATAAAATGAAAGTAAAAGTAAATGATATTAATGCTTTAAAAGCAGTTGTAACATTATCTTATTAAAAATAAATAAATTCTATGACAACTATATCTTCAAGCTACTGAAACAATTGAACTATACATGCTTAAAAGACAACTATATAATTGAAATGAAAATTTTATTTAGTGTCTTCAGGTTTTATAATGTGCTAATTTAAGGGGTTAAAAATATATAACTTCTATATTTTATTAAAAAAATTAAAAAGTTAAGATGACAATGACCCTTGCTGGTCTCCCTATCCCTGCCCTTTCTTATGAACAGATGATTATTCGTCACTCAATGAACATTCTTCTTCCCATGTAACCTTTTTTTGACTTATTATATGTGTTGGCAGCACTACTAAAATAAAGCATCATTTTTTAGGGTCACCAATGCTGAAATAATAAGCACACATCAACGGCCGTCAATATTTGTTTTATTGACACCTATTTGACAGTTAGTGAGTGTTGATAAATATATAATCAAAAATAGTATCATCAACGGTCACCGACTGTGGATAAAACTTTAAAACTATTTTTGACAGTATTTTTTTTGTCGTTAAGAATACTCAAATATTTAATTGGTGTACAATTTTCTATGACCACTAAAATTGATGCTCTTATTACTTTATTTCCAACAATTTTTTTCTAAAATATTTTCAATAATTTTGGCCGTTGAAATATATATATAAAATTATAATATCAAATTTAAATATTCCAAAAAATATATCAAATATTCATATTTTGTATATATAAATAATTTGTAACTTATAAATTATGCCTGTCAAAAATATTAAGTTGAAAATGCTTTGTTTTATTGTAGGGAAAATATTCTACCAATTGATGAGCTCTAGCTTTATATATCAGGGTATATTGGTAAATTTATTCTTTAATTCAAATCAATAAATACCAAGTCAATTATTGCAATTATAGAATCCTTTCTTATTTTATTGGGACTAACACACACACACACAGATATATATTGGTTATGTGACTGTCATGATTCCGGTGGAGAAGAACGTACCGGGATTTATTCATTTATCATGATAATTAAGTTTCACAAATAACATAAAAAAGTTAAGGTTTAATCAAGTCAAATAGAGTATGTAGGTCCAATTGGGAAACTTCCAACATAATTTCTATAAATTGATAAAGTTGTAATAAAAAAGACGAAAACATGGGGTGGTAATGGTTCGAATTAGAAAGGACAGGAGCAAGAAAGCAGTGGTGGAGCGAGCTTGGAAAAAATGACTTGTTTGGGATAGGGACTTTTATATTTTTTAATGTGCATCCTCCACTTATTATACTCTGTATTTCATTATTTCATATTTTAAACTTTAAATTTATTTTAATTTTATTTTTAGCCTACATTTATTCAATTTTTTAACTCAAAACCTCATGAATATTATCCCTCAATTTCACTATAGTTAAATACAAATATCATTTATTAATCCTTTGAAAAATAAAAAAAATTTAATTTAACTAAACTAGACTTGTGTTGTCCTCATCCTAAATACTAGTTAGGAACTAATAAGTAAAAGAGAAAAAAAAAAGCAATAATAAACTAAGATTCAAGACTCAAGAGTAAATTAGTTAAACGTCTTTCACTAGCTCACTACACTTACAAATCTATAATTAAAAGTTGAATTAAAAAACAAAGAAAAAGAAAAAAGGAAAGAGAAATATTGAATTTGGAAGAGACAAAAAAGTCTTCTTGTACCAAGGATCTTGGGTCTGTCATTACCTCTTAGAGTCAGGATCCTAGCTCCGTCATTGCAAGAAAGACAAGGGAAAAAAAATGAAAATGGACTATTCATTTCAATAAAAAAAATATAAAAATAGCATCTTTATCTGATTAAATAACTATTTATCATTAACAAAATATTATACCACCAAAGTGTTGTGGGGACAGAATTGTCATAAAGACATGTTTCAAACATGTGGGGGGAAAATAATTGACACTGTATGTGCTTGCATATGATGAACTTCTTTTATTCTGAACTAGCATGAATCTGCGTGCAACGTACAAGTCAACAAGATTTAGATATATGAAATTGAAATTGAAATTCTAAATTTATATTTTAATATTAGATAGTTGTGCCTCACTTCTTTTTGGCCAAAAAAGCAGCCTCGCATGTATTTATTTACTTTCCTTAATTGATTAATGATTAATCAATAAAAACACTATAAGTTGATAGAAGTTTTAATTATGGTATGCTAGACAAATTATAATTTATAATTTTAATATAATAAATACATTAATGTTTAATTTAACATCTTTAAGGCAAGAGTTAAATTTTAATTTTAAAATATATTTTAATTGACCTTTACCTTTAATTATGCAGGTTACTTTCCACAATCCATTTTAATAATAAAGTATAATGTGATATTGTGTTTAATATTTTTTTATATTGTGTTTATTATTCCAATATTTAGAATTAGTACCATTTTATTATTCCCACTATTTAATTTTAATACTTTAGAAAATGTGTTAAACAATAAATTCAAACCATATTTTAAATATAACAATGAAAACTAAACGCTACAATATATAAAACCTCTTAAATTTTAAAATAGTTGCATATGACCCCCTCTCTTTTAAATGTTTAAAATTAACTCTTTTAACCTTTAATTTTTCAAAGCTCTTATTATTAATTATATTATTTTTTTATAAGGGTTCAAATGTCATTATTACTATATAAAATTTTAAATATTTACATTTATATTAGTTTTATTCATATTTTTTTATTATCAATGGTGCATAATTTTATTATTTTAAAGGATAAATTTTTGTTTATATTTTTAGATTAGGGAAAATAATCTTTTAGTCATCCAACTATTAAGTCACTTGTAACTCAGTCCCTCAACTATGACTCGCTATGACTCAGTCCCTCAACTATAACTCGTCTATAACTCAGTCCCTCAACTTTTAAATTACTTACAAATTAGTCCCTTAACTTTTGTTAATTATTTTTTTATGTTAGCTTATATCTCACATCAATGAGCAAGTGGAGGGTATTTTAAAGTAATATATGAGCATTTTTTTATCCCTCTTATTTGATAAGAAATTTTTTAAAAAAAAAATAAAAAATAAAGACTAAGTTATAGGTGAATCAAAAGTTGAGGGATTGAGTTGTAGTAAGTTATAGTTGAAGGACTGAATTATAAGTGAGTTAAAAGTTGAAGGATTAAAATATTAATTTTCTTTTTAGATTAAATTAATGTAATGTACATAACTAAAATATTTAATTTTAAATAGTTTGATTATTTCCAACTATGAAGACTTTAGAATCAAGATCAAAACATAGGGCTCGATCGCCTCAAATTCTATGCTAACACATGGAAATTTTGCAAGATGTTGGGCACTGCTAATGATCTTATTTTTATAACAACACTGCTGTCATATTTTTACAATACAGGGGCCTGATCTTTTCGAATCCTCTCTCTGATCGTACCATTATTATCACCACCTAGCAAAGATTTCACATGCCCTTCTAGTCTTGATGGGCTACAGTCATCATAACTGTACATCATAGGCACCATCCTTGCACAATTCAGACAATATTTTGCAAAAGACGAGGGAAATGGATTCGATGATGATGACGAAGCAAAGCATTCTTTGTTGAGACACTTCCAAGCATGTGAGATCAGACGTTTGACATGTTCTCTTGCTGTTTCCTCAGAAACTCCAGGGTGATCCATCATGTAGCAGTTGAGATAGGACCCATCTTTACCAGCTTTATTATTGTCCTGTACCAATACAGACTTTGAATTGAATCTTCTCGATAAGTGTGTATCCGATTCTGTGGTCTAAATGTAATAAAGTAGCTGAATTTTGTCCAGGCTTCACGTAACTTCAAATCAAAGTCGCACTCGAATTTCCTCAAGTAATTATATCATATTATTCTAATAATTTTCTCTTTCACACAACAGTCTTTATGAATTTCACTATAGACGACAAAGTACGTAGAAACCTACCCTGTCAGGCATTTGGACCATTTAATGTAAGGTCATAAAGTTACAATCCAAATCGCTTCGTCGTCATCGAGGTCGTGAAAACTTAATGGATTTACTAATTAATAATTCATTATTCATCAATCGATTCATCAATTTGATAATTCTCATTAACTTTGGTTGGTCTGAAACACAAAATTTAAAAGGGTTAATTAAGAGTCATTTTTGCCTTTGAAATTTTTGCATAGGGTCTACGACTACGGGTGTCTTAAATTTGATTTTAAGTCATTTATCTCTTTAAACTAGTAAAATTTGATGCTTCATTATCCTGTCATTCACATATCACTTGTTGACTGTTATCTGCTTAGGTGGACATATTTTGTTGACCCATGTCAAGGTAGATTTTTTAACATGTAAGGGGATAAGTGATCCAAAAAAATTGAATTTTGAATATTAGGTATTTCTAAGAGAATACTTTGACGGCAAAAGCAATGCTAATAAGTTTTGATTGGGAATCCATTTGGATGCCATGTGTCCAAGAAAAGTTAACAAAACAAGTCCAGCTCAAAAGATAATGATCAACAAATGGCACTTGATTGGTAGGATAATGAGGCATCGGATTTTAAGATTCGAGGACAAAAATGATTCAAAATTGAGTTCAGAACACCCTTAGACCTTATGTGAAAAGTTCTAGAATAAAAAGACCTTTAACCCAATTAAAAATTAAACATAATATCAATATTTCTTTCTCGTACCTCTGCACCTTGTAAGTCATCGCAAAGCCTTAGAATTGTGGATGTTGAGGATACCAAGATTGGAAAGCCATCCATGAGAGCCACAGTTTCTTTGTTAATGCCTTGACCTAATATGAAGAAGGCGTGCACAAGGCACACATGCACTCCTGTGCTCACAATCCCATTCTTTAAATATTCCTCAGCATTTGGTAACTTCCCTGAACTAAACCATTTTGCTTCTTCCCAAAATGCATTGCACAGTCTCACCCACTGCAGCAAAAAAATAAATAAATAAATAAATAAACAAATAAAAGAAAAGAAGAAGAAGAAGTCAATATTAATCAACTTCTTCTTTATTTGTATAAAAAAAAACCTCAATAAACTGATTACAGATTTTTTTATTACCGATTTGATTAACGTGTTTATAGGGTTCCACCCATGTTTGTTTTGAACCTTAATGGAAAATTCATTGGTTATATCATAGAGAGCCTTGAAGCATGCTTTCATGTAATCTGGTAATTGCTCAGTTGCTCCCAAATCCCATCTGCATTATCATTCATAGATTATATATTATGTCATGGCCAATATAATTTGTTATGATCATTAAGAAAATGTGTCTCATATCAAGAAATTAAAATTTACCTGTTGACTGCATCTAGAAAGAGAGAGAGTTCATCCATACTTCCATAAACATCAAATATATCATCAATTATGTACACCAGAGATAAGGGCTTTGTGATTTCAATCCTTTCTTCTGAAAAGCAAGCATCTGTGAGGCATGCCATGGACCACATGTACCACTTTATTGGTTCATCTCTTGTAAACTTCATGTCCTTGGCCAAACCTAGGCCTTTCCACCACCTATACATATACAAGGTACATGTGAATATGTTGGTGGGTGTGTGTATGTGTGTGTGTGTGACAAGAAATATAGTGATACAATGCATGATTGAAGTGTCAAATCATATAATATCAAACAAATTAAATAACTCACTTAGATACCGCGTATATCTCCTGGAGGTTGATTGAGTTAACTATTTGGGTATCCATTTGGGATAGATTTTGTAGCGGCATTAACCATCCATTGTCAAGTTGGGATTTTGGAAAAAGGAAACTTCTGGGTGTGAACCTTGGCAGACTTTTGTGAACTGGGTACTTAAGTGTATTTGCAATAACATTAGCTTCATGATGATCATGGAATCTTGAACGCCATGAACTAAGGAGATGGTACGCGAAGTTCCCAACTTCCTCAAGATCATCTTCTCCTTCCATACTTAACTGTGAAGCTTCAAACAGTTCAATCAAGCCTTCAATGTTTCCCCAAAATTTTTGGCTCAGTCTTCCCTTCATGTCCTTGAAGTTCTCAAACACACCTGCGTCATCAGACTCAGTAATAACCATTCAATTTTTAGATCCAAGAGCGTTATTAATAGTTTCAATAATTGACTTGGACTTGACTTTTTGAAAGAATTATTTAGCTAATGGATGGATAACTTTACTCTAAAAGCTAGCTGTTGAAGTAAAATACAATCCACTTAAATACCTTATTGAGTATCACATGTTACTCAATGTAAGACTTTGGTATCTCACACTATCAAGTCACAATAAATTGGCCTCTCAATGGAAGGTCACCTGATGGTTAACACAGCCTCCTACTAGTCAAGAGACTTCATGGGTACCCTCTTTCTAGAAGATGGATACTTAAGTGGGATAAACCTTATTCCAAAATCTTTTTGTTGAAGTAGGAGAACCATCCACTTAAATATTCCATTGAACATCTTATATTACTCAATATAGGACTTGGTATCCTATACTACTAAATCGTCACGTGAAAACATGTAGCAGGCACATGCATCTCCAGGTTTATAACTAACCACATCATAACTTACGTACCATCGCAAGAAGAGTATTCCAATAATTCACATATTCGAGTTCTATAAAGAATTATTCTTGGTTTGCTATATGTTTTGTAATGATTAAACGTTATTGTGGAAAAAGAATAATGGCACATTTACCTGAATCTACTTTATAACGTTGTTGTCTTGATAAGCGAAATTGCATTGCAACTTCAGAGAGCTGGCGATGATCATCATGATCTGTGCAGCCATGGCTTTGAGTTTCAAGCTCCAGATAGTGTTTTCGAACAGTTTCTTGAATCTCCTCTTCAAAGCGGTGGTCAAGTCCCAGCCTTTGAATCATATCAATCATTTGTTAACCTTCAACTGAATTCAGTCTAGCTTTTTCAACCAGCATTTTCTTAACGTTCTTCAATTGTTTTTCATGTCTGATATGAATGTCATCCTGAAAGTGGGAAACAATGATCCACAATAACCACATATTCTTTGACACGTCGCTATAAAACAATAAAAGAATATTCATGCATGCAAGTATAAGTCCCCAGTATGTCACGTAAATAAATTAGTAAAAAAATAAAAGAATTTTTAAAGCACATGTCCTGCAACACTACTCCAGGTCCCTATTTTATTTGTTTTTCTTTTATTTGCACCATCTGAAATGTTAGTTCCTATATTTTGGAAACTACTCAGAAAAACCATGAGATCACCCAAGAGGTGTCAATTTTGCCCAGTGAACTTAACACCATTAAACCCATTAATTAGATGACTAGGAAAAAATATGCTGACCTGAGAAAAAATTAAAAAATTGTCTAAACTCTCTTTGAATATACAAATAAATATATGTATAGAAAATTCAATTAAAAGTGATACAGGAGATTTCCCACACATTGAATGTTGATCTGGTTTTTGCAGGAGCGACGTTATGCTGCATGGATATAATTGAAATGTCTCTATCCTGCGAAGCAGAGTTTGAGACACGAGTTCCTCTGGGGTTGGCTCTAGGAATATGTGCGATTTGCTTCAGAAAAAAGGGCAACTTTAGGCTGTAAAGGTAAGAGACTGACATGGTGAAAGAACGAGATATATATATATATATATATATCACAAAGAGATTAAAAGAGAGCTTTGCTTCTGATGCTTTAGTGGTAGAAACTAAGTTGAAGAGATGCTTGCAGACAGGAAGAAATGAGAAGCCATTTATATTGAGGAGTCGGTTGGCCATAGCATCATTTAAAGACAAGGGAAAACAAAATTAGTTTCTGCAAGTTTGGTTTCTCCACCAATTCTGGTGTTTCTTTCAAGAACAATTAAATATTGGGCCCCAATATCAAGATATTACGTGTAGACTATATTATTCTTATTTTTTATTTTCCAACATTAATATTGTCTCAACCATTGTATCATTCTTTTCACACTTTGCTTTGCTTTTCTTTTTTTTTTTTTGGCAAAATCGTTTTTATCTCATCTTTCCCCAATTTGGTGACATGTCTTAATCAAGTCTACTTCAAGTTGTTCTTAAGTTTCGTTTTTATTTTCTGAGTTTAATTTTGATAAGGGATATTTATAATAAGTATAATGGATATTTATTGTGTGAACAAATTTAAGCCATCCACTGAATTTAAATTTATAATTAATGTACAAATCTGTTAAATTTTTTTTAGTACTATCTTTGAATAATTTTCTTTCTTTCACATATATGATACCATTGTAAATTATTCTCTTTCATACGCGCAATGTTGAAGAAGAAAAGTCTTTTCTATGTCTCATAATCCTAACTTTTTGAGCATCGTGTCCCATGACCTACTTCGAAGAATTTTGGTTGAACAGGTCCTTCCTGAAATAGAAGATGAGTTCTAACAACGATACTTTTGTCTTTTAGCACAATTGTACGGTCATATTCAAATGGGATATAATAACTCTATGCTTATTTCCACGGTAATTTTATATAACTAATTATGTTTTATAGGTATTGTAGATAATCTAAAATATGAATGATATACTTCATAAATTATCAATGGTACAACTTGCTATAGATTCTATATTTTATATATTAATAATTCGCACTCACACACACACACACAATATGTTAGGTGATTTTGAAAAAACAATTTCAAGTTGAAATTATATTATTATTGGATTTGATTTATTACAGATTCAGTATTGTAGATTTTCATAAAATTTTCTTTGTATTTAGTTCTTCATAATCTTTTACATATATGTTAATTTATTCTCTTATATGTAGGTGTAATTATCTTCATTTAATTTCGTCGAGTATTCTACACGTCCTTATGTTCTTTAGTTTTGATCATTTGCAAATAAAATCACTATCAGTAGCTAATTAACGATGTAACTCATATCCAACTCACTTATATCTAATTAGCAAGAATGCAATTTATGCCGCAACGAAGACGTAAATCCGAACCTTAGCTTGTTGCCATTATGAAAACTTTGCTGATAGGTAATATGTAAGTCTATAAATTCTCTTTCAACAACATTGTAGCCTATATTCATACAAATCTTGTAGAGCTTTGAAACCCAGGTCACCTAACTTTTGTTATTAAAAACAAACTGTAGTAAGTGATATACATGTGTAAATATATTGCTTATAAATTGACCCAAAAAATATCGCATATGAAATAAATAAATAAATATAATAATAAAAAATATTTGTATAAACTATTGTTTAGTCAATATGTAAGTTGATTTGATCATGATTCTATTAATATTGACTTAGCAGATGGAAGGTATTAACTAGAATTTCATTTTCATGATAAAAAAATGGATTAAAATGCATAAATACCTATAAAATATTCTGTGAGGAGCTACTGCCTGCTGATAACTTCAACTCAAGTATGGTGTAATTTTATCAATCAATTCTAAAAAATGGTTCAAAACCCTTCAGTTTGTAACAGAAGTACATTAAGTAACCATTGTGGGTCTTATATGTTCGCCACATATAAATGGATGATGGGCATAAATATTCATAATATACTATACTATGGTGCAATTTTGTCCAGAATCTTAAAACTTATGCACAAATTTCCAATCTAAAATAAAGACATGCCAAAAAGAAAATCATCATTACCTTTAGCTTCCCTAATATAAAAAATTCATCATAAATATTTGTAATAATATTTTTTTTTTCTTTAGAAGAAGATACTAACTAACTTGTTTTTGGATTGTCATGGAAGATGTGGTTCACATGATGACATGAATGAACTACGAACATGCGTTTAGAGGGCCTACTTGGAACAGCGATTCTGTAAGGAAGCGACGTTGAAAATGACAATTTAATCCTAGACAAGCAATTATTTTCCCCAAATTCCAAGGAATCATGAATCACGAATTACGAAATTTGGGGAACATGTATGAACACTTGACTTTTTTTTTTTTTAAATTAGTTTATCGTTTGTTTTTTGATTTAAATCTTTCTTTTGGGCTGGTAAAAAAAACTTTTTTTTTAAGATATAATGTTAAATCAAAAACTTGAGAAAATGATAATAAAATTTTTTTAAATTATATAAATGATAATTTAATTTCTTAAAATATTCTAATTTCACCAAAGTCCTTAGGGACCTCTTTGTTAGTAAATTTTAAATTGAAAAGATCATTTTACCTTTATTGACAAGTTGGAATTTCTTATTCAACTTTTACGATCCATAAAACAAAAGTTGTTATTCTTTAAACAAAAATTATAATTGGGGCTTGTTTTTCAATTATACAAATTACACTTAACAAGTTATAATTTCTTTTTCAATTCTTATAATTTATAAAACAAAAGTTGTAATTCATTAAACAAAAGTTATGATTGAGGCTTATTATTTTTTATAAAAGTAAAATAGTCTTTTCACTTTAAAGTTTATTAACACAAATGTCCCTTGAGATTTCATTGAAATTATAGCATTTCAAGTGATCAGATTGTTATTTATATAATTCAAAGAGAATTTATTATTTTATTTCTCAAAAACTTCATGAGTTCTGTTTTTTTTTTTTTTTTGTTGCCACGACTTCATGAGTTCTTGAGTTTTGAGTTAAACGCATTCAAACATATCCTCCTATATATTTAAATTATTTTCAGACGAAGGTATTTTAAATAATTTTTAAAAATAATTCTTCAAACGAGAAAATGTCTTCTATCAATTTGGTGTCCTTCAAACATCTCTGAGTTATCAATTGAATGAATGGAGGACGAGGATGTGGTCCTTGCAAAAGAAGAAATTGCTAACTTATGTTCTATAGTTTAAAAACAAAATGCTCTAGAGGATCATACACCCATGGACACTGGCCTAATATGGTAAAGTTCACAATAAAAGATATTATTGATTTTAATTATTTAATTAAAACAACTAATTGAATTTATTTTCCTTATTAATGTAAATAACTTCGTATGACATGACACAAAATTTTTTAATGTAAAACATAAAATTTAGTATATCACATTACTCGCAAGTCATGAATAATGCCTTTCTTTTATCGGGCTCAATACAATGCATAGGTAAACATGCTAAAATTTAAACAACTAAATTGTATCGTGAAATTTTAAAAATTAAGCATGATAATGTATGATAACAATAAGTCTAAAACGTAATAATATCATAGGAGAATGACAAATAAATGTCTCCAAAATAGAGAAATGACAATTTGGTCACATAAAATGTGATAATGCTTTCTAAGAGAAGGGAAGTCACACATTTCTTCATGTAGCGGCTTATACATTGTCTATTATAGAAAAGAAGACTTTTTGTGAGTCACTTGCTATTGTTAAAGTTTCAAAGGGGTACTCTTCAAATATTAAGGGCCTTGTGTCATTGAAGGATTTGAAGTTGAAGGGTCTAAAATTGCATGATTGCCATGTGTTAATAGAAAATTTTATTCTAGTGGCTATGCGTTCTATTTTACTTGATATAGTTCGAGCTATGATCACAAAATTGTGTTTCTTCTTCAAGTCTATATGTAGTAAAGTGATTGACCCAACAAAATTGTCAAGATTGCAAAGCCGAATTGTGTTAATCTTGTGTGAACTTGAAATGTATTTTCTGCCTACATTCTTCGATATAATGATGTACCTCACTAGTCATCTAGTTAGAGAAATACAAATGTGTGGCCTAGTTTTCTTGAGACAGATGTATCCATTTAAGCATTACATGAAGATACTAAAAGGATATGTAAAAAATTGGAGTTGACCTAAAGGTTGTATAGTTGAACAATACATTTGTGAGGAGGCAGTTGAATTTTATATTGAGTACTTATCAAGTGTCAACCATATTGGTCACTTCTCAACATGATGGTAGGACTAATGAAGAAGTAATTATGGGCAATAAAGTAGTTACAATCTCCAACTTACAATAAGAACAAATGCATTTATATGTACTACACAACTCTGTTGAGGTTAATGAGTATGTAGAGATACACATGAGCTTAAGCAGGATAACCTTAATAGATCAGAGATTTGGTATGCAAACAAACATAATAAGAGTTTTATAATTTGACTAAAAGAGCATATTCTTCAGAAGTTGACTGCTGATCCTGATTCAGTTTTTAAAAAATTAAAATGGTTGGCAAGAGGTCCAAGTAAATAAGTTCTTTCCTTCACTAGCTATCTCATTAATGGATACACAGTTTATACCAAAAAGTAAGATGATCGGAGTACAATGCAAAAAAGTAGTGTAACTCTTATAGCCCAAGCAATACATATATCTAGTATTAAAGACAAAATTCCTTGTATGCAAACATGTCATACTTTAGGGTAATTGAGCATATTTGGGAGTCAGATTACATCAAGTTTCAAGTTCCAATTTTTGGTTGTAAGTGGATTAATCGTAAAAATGGTCTTAAAGTTGATGACTTGGGATTCTTAATGGTGGATCTTAATAGAGAAGGTTATAAAGATGAGCCTTTTATTTTGGCTTCACAAGCTCAACAAGTGTTCTTTGTTCTTGATCCAACTAAAATAACTTGGTCTATCGTTTTATTGAGCAATAAAATAAATAA